CACCAACAAAGAACAAACTCCATCCAACACACCTGTGCACAATTCAGCGCCAACTTCACGAAGAAAAAATGGAAACGACCTTGTGATTGATTAGCAATTCAATTGGGTATTTATTAATTCTTATTGGTTGGTTATCAATCGATAGGCCAGAATCGAACCTATAAATCCACTGGACAGCACCCATATGTCACGTGTTTGTTACATGCGAAACGTGTTGCGCAATTTCATAAATGATAGAAACAGGTGTGTTAGGCTGGACAGTTCAAGTGTGTCCCATTTGTTTTTTTTTTCTGGTTTGGTATAAATTATTTCCCATGTCAACTGGTTTAGCTGAATAATTCTTCAAAATCAGCCCAAATCTACCAAGGAAACGAAATTCTGAAGAGTCATAGAGAGAGGTTTGCTCGGTTTTATGCAACAAAAAGCGCGTTTCAATCTGCACTGGTTGGATCGTAATGAATTTTTGTACAACGGTGGGTAATTTTTTTCTTCCAATGACCAGGGAAACGAAACTGTGAGGATTTATGGAGGGAGATTCATAGAGTGAGGTTTGCTCTATCGGTTGCAGGGAAAAGCGCGTTTTAATATTCACTGGTTTGGTCGAAATGCATTTTTAAACAACGGCGGGAAAACTTTGTGTCGAAATTCATTGCCAGTGTCATTTTTGAAAATTCTCAATATTCAGCCCAAACCTCCAGGGAAGCGAAACTGTGAGGAATCAGAGAGTGAGGTTTGCTCTATCGATTGCAGGGAAAAGCGCGTTTTAATCTCCACTGGTTTGGTCGAAACGCATTTTTGAGCAACGGCGGAACAATGTACTCTCGAAATTCTATGCAAGTCTCATTTTGTAAAATTCTCAAAAATTCTCCCAAGCCGCCACGGAAACAAAACTTTGAGGAATCGTAGAGTGAGGTTTGTTCTATCTATTACGGCAAAAAGCGCACTTCAATCTCCAGTGGTTGAGTCGTAATAAAGTTTTGAACAACGGCGGATAAATTTATTCGTGAAATTTCTTGCAAGTCTCACTTTGAAAAATCCTCAAAATTCGGCCCAAACCTCCAGGGAAGCGAAACTGTGAGGAATCAGAGAGTGAGGTTTGCTTTATCGATTGCAGGAAAAAGCGCGTTTTGATCTCCACTTGTTTGGTCGAAACGAGTTTTTGAGCAGCGGCGGGAAAATGTACTCTCGAAATTCATTGCAAGTCCCATTTTGGAAAATTCTCAAAAATCCGCCCAATGCTCCACGAAACAAAACTTTGAGGAATCGTAGAGCGAGGTTGGCTCTATCTATTGGGGCTAAAAGCGCGCTTCAATCTCCAGTGGTTGAGTCGTAATAAATTTTTGAATAAGGGCGGTTAAATTTATTTGTGAAATTTCTTGCAAGTCTCACTTTGAAAAATTCTGAAAATTCAGCCCAAACCTCCAAGGACGCGAAACTGTGAGGAATCAGAGAGTGAGGTTTGCTCTATCTATTACGGCAAAAAGCGCACTTTAATCTCCAGTGGTTGAGTCGTAATAAATTTTTGAACAACGGCGGGTAAATTTATTCGAGAAATTTCTTGCAAGTCTCACTTTGAAAAATTCTCAAAATTCAGCCCAAACTGGATGCAAGACTGTGAGGAATCAGACAGTGGGGTTTGCTCTATCGATTGCAGGAAAAAGCGCGTTTTGATCTCCACTTGTTTGGTCGAAACAGATTTTTGAGCAACGGCGGGACAATGTACTCTTGAAATTCAGTGCAAGTCTCATTTCGGAAAATTCTCAACAATCCGCCCAAACCTCCACGGAAACGAGACTGTGAGGAATCGTAGAGTGAGGCTTGCTCTATCTGTTGCGGCAAAAAGCGCGCTTTAATCTCCACTGGTTTGATCGAAATGCAGAGTCTCAGACCGCTCTAAGTAAACCAAATTTTGCGACAACATAGAGTGAAGTTTGAACTATTTATTTTGAATATTTAGTCTGGAAGTGGCACTATTTCGAATATCGTTTACCTACTTCCGCTGCTGTTGGTTAGCGGAAGTGACGATAAAATCCGCTTCACACAAACTGTATCGTCACGCTGCGTTGCTGCGTTTCTGTTTGAGAAAAACCAGACGCAAAATTGGAGAAGGAAATAGGGGCCTACTCTGAGCCGCCTAAGAAAGCAATTTTCCATTGCGATGATTGAAACTTTTCCCAGTCCTACCGGCCCTCGACATCTGATACACTTCTGACGCCATTTGCATTAACAAATGCACAAGTGCTTTTTTCGGTGCATACATTTGCATTCGATTACACACCACATTTCGAGCATCTGGACATTCATTGACGCACTTTAAGACATGAATGGAACTTTATATCCGATAGAAAAATGCAGTTTCTTGCATGGGAACTGAACAAGCTCAAAGGCCAATTGGCATAAAATGTAATTTTCTTTTGTTTGTTTCAGCTTCGGGAAACGAACTGGCGGCAGTGCCCGCAGGCAGAACGAATGTTTCGTCTTGGAACCTTCGGAGATGATTGTCGTGAGTATTTTCTCTGTCTGTTTTTCTTTGACCTCTCTGTATATTAGGAGGCTTATTGCACAATAGTAATTATTCTAATATGGTTAGCAGTTCTTCAAAAAACGAAAGCTAATAAACGCCTTAATTAGTGTGGTAGTTAGCCTGTTAACAATGCGGGTGTTGCAAAAAAATCGTTGTCGGAACTACAGTGGAAACATCTTGGGGTCCAACGTTGTTAAAAGGTTTATAGGTAGTGTTATTATTATTATTGAAACCAATGGTAAATAGTGCGTAAACTTTATAAAATGATGTCCCAATCGAGCAGTTCAGTTCTTGGTCTAGCGGAATATTTGGCAATTATCAATAGTTGGGACACTTGTTGTGTATGCGCTTGTCGGCCTTCGGATAACCGAACATGTGGCTAATTATCCAGCAAGGCCGGGTTTACATTATTTGGAAAGTTTGGCAGAAAAGCGCTTCTATAGCCGGAAAAGAGGCAACTGCGATGAATAATCCGATGGCCAATTTTTCTTTTTCCGGCATTCTGAGTCAATTTTCCGCTCAAACCGCAATTAACCGCCATCCGATTCGCGCAATTGGTAACAGATAACTCGACAACATGATTAAACATGATAGCAGCTTCGATGAGTAATTTAAATATTTTTGAATCGACGCGTTTCCATTAAATCCCAAAGCCTCATTTCGTGCTGCGAGCAAATTCACCCACTCAATCCCAACAAGAGTAAATAAATTATCCAGGCGCTAAATTGGGTCAATCCAATTCTCGGATGCTGCCAACGCAAAATTAGGGGCGCTGGCAAACACCCCCAACCTTTCATCTTTCCAATTCACCTGCCGAAACGTGCAAAACGCTCAGAAAACCTTAAAAACAACACCTACTGCCGACAGGATGCTGTGGAAGATCAAAAGCAAACAGCCGTCGTTAAGGAAGTCGTTTCGTCTTTGGAACCACATTTTTCACTCATCTTTTATCTTATTTATGACTAAACATGTTGTTTCAGTTGTTGCCAAAGTGTAACATTGGATGAGCTGGGAAAAGGGATTTAAACAAACAGATGCACCCTCTATATAGGGATGATGTTTTTCTGGATAGCGCAAAGGAAACATGCGAAGAATCAAGCACCGTCCAGAATGGCAATGTTTTCGCCAGAATCCCGTTAAAAGGTGTACAGTTTGGAACGCAGCCGTCGGATTTTCATCTTGCAATCGACATGTTTATGTGCAAGAAGTCAACTGTTTCCATTAAGAAGCAACTAGTCCAACGCAAAACCGCATTTCCAGTTATTAAAGCAAAAACTTACCTTCAACAGTTTTCATTCGCGAACGTAGCCGATCGCATCTACCCGCTTGCTGTTTACAAGGCATTCCGGCCCCCTTAACTGGGAGTCGAATTGGAAATAAAGGCTTGGTGATCGGAAGTGTGTTTTTTCTCCTTAAGAGTTCGAGTTGGCACGGATAATCTGAAATTGAAGGAAAAAGCGGGTTAATTCGCGGTCATAAGACGTAGTATCTGAACTGTGGCTAATTGAAAATTTGTACATATACAATATCCAGGGAGAAAATATGATTGCAAACCCGCATTTTACACTTTTCCCGGTCGTTTTTTTGCCTAAAAATCGAATTAAAATTCATCGCGCACTTTTAATGTCAGTTTCTTTGCAGTATGTCAAAAATTTAACTCGTTTGACAGCAGTTTAAGTAGATTTGTCGCGGTTGCCACGATTAGACTTACATCTTAAAAACTCCGTCCAACCAAATCCAGAACCGCGACAAGTTTTGAGAGTAATTTGCCAAATTTAAGCTCCGTCTGAGTTCACTGGCTTTTAACATAAGCTCCACCCAGACGACAACTTGCACGCAAAAGCCCTTCAGTAAGGATTTTCTGTTGAATGTTGCAACAGTTTTGATCTTTTTTCTGCAATTTCAAAAAATTACAAACTCGCATTTTACACTTCCCGGTCGTTTTTTGCCTAAACATCGAATCTAAAATCCATCGCGCATATTTAATGTCAGTTTCTTTGCAGTATGTCAAAAATTTAACTCATTTGACAGCAGTTTAAGCAGATTTGTCGCGGTTGTCACGTTTAGACTTAATTCTTAAAAACTCCGTCCAACCAAATCCAGAACCGCGACAAGTTTTGAGGGTAATTTGCCAAATTTAAGCGCCGTCTGAGTTCACTGTTTTAACATAAACTCCACCCAGACGCCAACTTGCACGCAAAAGCCCTTCAGTAGGGATTTTCTGTTGAATGTTGCAACAACTTTGATCTTTTTTCTGCAATTTCAAAAAAAAAACAACGCGATCTAGACATAAAAGAACGTGTTTTTCCAATGCTCCGACGACCTTCTGCCTTGTTCGCCCCTAAAGCCCATAGAATTCCGAACAAAATACATGCACTAGGCCTTGTCTGTTCTATTTTTAAAATACCCCCAAAGATTAAAGATGTCGCCTGGAGAGGCTTCTGTTTCAGTTCAATGCATCTTGTTATCAGTCGGGTGCAGCAGTCGGTTGACAGTACAAGCACGAACCGCGTTTCGGTACCATCGATGGTGCTTTACTGTTGTTAGTTTCCGAACTGAAGAGGTTTTTTTCTAAGTGTTTTACTCCACCAATGAACTCCAATTAATCTCGCGAAGAAACATCGGTTAATTGTTGGCTTGATTTGTAATTCACCAAGGCGGAAACGCTTCCTTTTAATAATCATTTTTGTTGCCTTTTCATATCCAAACACACACACTCTGCTTCAGGCTTCAGTACTCTTAGCAGTGTTTCGGTTCGAGCGCATCGCGCTACTTCTACGGTACTAGAAAATTACGTTTGTCATGTAATAAGACTTTTTTGCCTGTTTGTGCTATAATTGGTGATTATTTGGATACACACACACACTCAAGTCTAGTGAAAGTGATTTTCCGATGGTTCGGTTTCTGTTGGAAAGTGAGAGTTGGATGTAACTGTGCGCCTAAGTAGTGTTCTTTTGCGTTTTTCTTCTTTTCTTCGTACTAATCATAGCAGGCAATGTGCGGCCGTGAACTTTAAAATTCCGCACTGTTGCACTAGAGCAGGTACCAACTTGATTTTTGCTCAGCATACGGAGCACACACAGTGGCCCAACTCCACAAAATTTCATTGAAATCCTGCCTCCCATCGAAGACTCAGACGTTTGCAAAACTCGCGATTGCCTATAAGCCCACTTATGCCACCGCAAACTTAAAAATTCCTATCTTTCACTCTAGAGCAGATACCAACTAGATTTTTGCTCAGTATATGGAGCAGACACAGTGGTCTAATTGTACAAAATATCATTGAAATGTCATAAATTCCAGAGAAAACTGATATTGAAACGGTTGCTTGATGAAAACAATAATTATTTCCAGTTTATATCTGGCATTCCATTGCGGATAGAAACAATCAAAATGGGTCACATGGTTCTTATCGAAGGAAGGAAACAGTGTGCAACGGCTTTGGTGCTCTTGTACTGTCGTTATCGCAATCATAGGCGTCTATTTACACTCAAAACATGTGGGTGTAAAAACCGTTTTTCTGATTAACGCCAGAAAAAATCTACCGAATCAGATCTGGACTGTATACCTACCTATATGGCTTCTCCTAAAAGTCTGCCCAATAGCGTCAGTTCGCACCTCATGTTTTTCAGACAATGAACAAACGTGTCGTCCTACAAGTCCGCACACCATTTACGGATCGGAATGAAAACATATCCTGTGTAACGAAACAATTGCAATGACGAGTTATTAACAAATTAATCAGTCGCATAAGCATGCGGTGATTGATTTTTCGGCAAGTCAAGGGGGGCCTGCTCTGGATGCGATTGTTCTGGAACCCGTTTAAAAGTTCACACGTTTTATCCAACAACAGTAGCCGCTTTTATTGTCAACACGGTTATATGGTTAGTTGTGATAAAGAGGCGGCTAATGTTGGTTGGGCGCCAGAAGACTATCTTTCCGGCTTATTTAACGATGATAAAATACAGTAGTAAATAGATACATGATCCGCGTGTCGGTTTACAGTTTAAACTTTAAAAGCCATATCGGATTCCACTTGGAATTGATGAATGAATCTTCTTCGTTAGCCAGACTGTGCATATGTTATAAATAAACAAACGGCAAAGACAATGTTGAAACACGCGCTAAGAACTTGCTACGATTGGGACATTAAGCCGGGCTTACGCAAAAGAGTGTCTCTAGGCGATTTATCGCTCAGACGCAAGTCGGGTACCTACGAAAACGTGCAGATCCTCAAGAAGTACCTGCGCCGCAGGAATTCCATATCCTGGCCAAATTCGGCCTGTCAGGAAATCGACGATATTGCCGAGGTATAATCTCGTCAACTGCTAATAATCGCTGCATCTGTGCAATTAATCGTCGTCATTCCTCATTCCTGATTTGTTCCAGATCGACTATCCAGACATTGATCAAGCTAGAAGAGTAGAAAACTCCCCTCTGATGGAACACCAGCAGCAGCACCGGCCAATCAGCATAATGTTTGACGACAATGTAAGTCACGATCGCATTCCTTATAATTGACGCAGGTAAAACCAAAAGTGTTAATTTTTTGTTTGCAAATCGCCACCTCAACCAACTGGTATTAATGATTAAAGCACACACGCGAAGTTGTTTTTGTCAAATAGTTGCGATTTTGCTCAATTCAATTGAACAGTGGCGTCTCGAACCTAATTTGAAGCCACAGAATCAAAACCCCAGTTAAATAAACCAAATAAACAGTGTTTTTGGAAAAAAATTGACCGTTTGGGGCTAGTAATCGTGCCCTGAATACGGCGCTGTGTTTTTCGACGGCAGGCCACCCACAATGCACCTGCCTATGTACGTTTTGCATGGGCAAGCTAACAAGCGACCGACAGGGCCGGCCTAAGCACAATCGCAATAACTGAAATAATGCAAAAGAGCCGCGTCTACTCGTTTTAAGACACCATCGATTTTTTCCAGTATGGTGGTCACCCGCACAACAATATCCCCCGACCGAGCCTCTACCACAAATGCTCCAGAGGATCTCATTCTTCGGATACGTCTTCCGCTTATAGTGGAAGCGACACCATGGCATCCACTCACTCCGAACTGGATGGCGATGAGCCCGACCTGTCTGGACTGGTCGAAAGCATTGTGGACAGCGACGAAGAGGATGATCTGGCCGAAAGCATGGACGTAAGTGGCGCGTCCAGCACCATTTCCAGCTCTAAACAACCGGTTGCATTGCAGAGCCTGACAGTGAGGGATAGAGTCCGAGACTGCCTAGAGAAGGAGCCATCCGAGCGAACCGAAGACGACATAGAGGCCTTGCTGGAGTTCACGCAACATTTGAAGGCCTTCACCAACATGACTCTGGCAGTACGAAGAGCTCTGTGCGCCGTCATGGTGTTTGCCGTGGTGGAAAAAGCCGGCACTATAGTGATGAATGACGGAGAGGAATTAGGTAGCAACCAGCTCCCAACGGGAATCTGATGAAAATTAACCGAGCTTCTAATGTTGCAGATTCCTGGTCGGTTTTGGTGAATGGTTGCGTGGAAGTGGTGATTTCGGGCGAAGACAACCAAACGTTGACGATGGGCGACGCGTTTGGTATTCTGCCCACCATGGACAAGCTCTACCATAAGGGCACGATGATTACGAAATGCGACGACTGCCAGTTTGTGTGCATCAAACAATCTGATTACTACATGTAAGCATGCGTCGGTTGTCCGTATGCGGCTTGGAGTTTGGGAATTGAACTTTTCTTTAGAATCCTGCATCAAGGCGAGGAAAACACCCGAAGACACGAAGACGACGGCAACCTGGTGATGGTGACTGAAATGAGAGGATCGTTGGAATCCGGCTCGAATAGACGAGGGTATGTGGTGATCCGCGCCACCCCTGAGCGATTAATGCACCAGCTGATCGAAGAAAACTCCCTGACCGATCCCACCTATGTGGAAGATTTCCTGCTCACGCACCGAGTGTTCACCCCTAGTCCCCTCTACATAGCCAATCAACTGCTGGAGTGGTTCAAAGAGCAAGAAGTGCGCGATCGGGTGACCCGAGTGGTTCTGCTGTGGGTCAACAACCACTTTACCGACTTCGAGACTGATCCAGATATGATCGAGTTTCTGGAAACGTTCGAACAAGGCCTGGAAGACGAGCACATGGCCGGCCAGCTTCGGCTACTCAACATCGCTTGCAATGCAAAGGCGCGCATTAGGAACGTAGTACTGGCCAGACCCAACAGGGACGAGCCGCTAAGCTTTCAGATTCTGGGCGGGTTTGAGCGGAACTTCGGCATTTTCATCTCCAAAGTGGACAAGAAGTCCAAAGCGGAGGAAATCGGTCTGAAACGCGGCGACCAAATTCTCGAAGTAAACGGGCAGAGTTTCGAGCATGTTTCGCATGCCAAAGCCTTGGAAATATTGCGCGGCACCACCCATTTGAGCATCACCATCAAGTCCAATCTGCTCCATTTCAAGGAGATGTTGAACACGCCCGATAATTCGCCCAGGCCCCGAAGCAGAAAAGTGTCCGAAATAGGTACAGAGTTGCAACAATAATCCCAATTGCTGAGTGAAGGTTTTTTTGAAAATTTTAGCCAAAATCCAACACGACCCCCGAGCGCGGCTCTCAAGCGTGGAAGGGAGCATGCTCTTAGGGCATGACACGCCCTGCTCCCAGCCAGTCACCATTAACAGTCCTCAGAAAGAGGTGAAGAAGCCCATGTTTTCCACCATGGGTCCCAAACGCAGGCTGCAAAAGGCCCTGATGAAAATGAACATTTTACCCAAGAATATCATAAAGTAAGTCGGACTCAGCTGCGAAATGATCGCGGTTTAACAAATGCTTCTAGCATGGGCGCGGATCAAGTGGACAACTTCAACCCGCCCTCCAATTTAACCAGCAACATCTACCAATCGCAAAGCAATCCAGATCTGATGTCCATCTGCTATGACGATCTACGCTGCACTGATTACCCGGAACATGTGTTGAAGGCAAGTATTTCGCACTTGGATTTTGCTCAGAGGGCGCTAATGGGGGCCGCTTTGTAGGTTTACAAGCCGGATCAAAGCTACAAGTACCTGCTAATCCACAAGGAAACCACCGCTCATGAAGTGGTAATGCTGGCGCTGCAGGAGTTCGGCATGACTGATCCCAGTTCCAACTTCAGCCTATGCGAGGTGTCGGTTACGGACACGCAAACGATCAAGCAGCGCCGGCTTCCGGATCAGCTTCAGAACCTGGCTGAGCGCATCGGGCTCAGCAGCCGATACTACCTGAAAACCAATGGAATTACCGAGACTTTAGTACCTGACGAGTTGGCTCCCGAGCTGGTTAGAGAGAGCGCTGTGCATTTCCTACAACTGAACGCTGTTGAGGTAAAACTGTGCAATCCACTAAAAACCCCGGTCTCAAAGTGGTTGTTTTCAGGTGGCCATCCAACTAACCCTGCAAGACTTCAGCATATTCCGCCAAATCGAACCCACAGAATACATAGACGACCTGTTCCAGCTGAAGTCGCGCTATGGCACGCCGATGCTGGACCAGTTTGAGACCCTGGTCAATAAGGAGATGTTTTGGGTGGTCAGCGAAGTGTGCTCCGAACAGAACCCAGTGCGGCGCATGAAGATTATCAAGCAGTTCATCAAAGTGGCCCGTAAGTGCTTCGGAGGCTGTAGGTGTCACGTAAAGTTCACGTTGCGGCGTTTAAAGGGCAATGCAAGGAGTGCAAGAACTTCAACTCCATGTTTGCAATCGTGAGCGGATTGGGGCATGGGGCGGTGACGCGACTGCGACAAACTTGGGACAAACTGCCCAGCAAATATCAGCGAATTTTCAACGATTTGCAACAGCTGATGGACCCGTCGCGGAACATGAGCAAATATCGGCAGCTGGTCAGCGCTGAACAGACTCAGCCACCGATTGTAAGTGACTGGGGGGACGCAGACGATCGTGTGGGTTTTCACGCTTTTCCTATTTTCACCTGCAGATCCCGTTCTACCCAGTGGTGAAGAAGGACCTGACATTCATCCACGATGGCAACGACTCGCACTTGGAAGGCTTGGTGAACTTTGAGAAGCTCCGAATGATCGCCAAAGAGGTGCGTTCGTTGAGCAACATGTGCAGCAGCCCATACGATCTGCTCACGATGCTGGAACTGGGTGGGCAGCCCGCTAGCAACGCCATGGTGGCCTTGAACCAGATGACCACCGCCTCCTCTCAATACCACACTCAAGGTTTGTTTTGGTTTGTCTCCCGCATATCCCCGGATGAAGATTCATGTGGAACTTTAGGCCAAGCCACGGTGAAGCGTCGCAAAAAGTCAACTGCCGCGCCCAACCCCAAGAAGATGTTCGAAGAGTCGCAAATGGTGCGCCGAGTGAAGGCCTACCTGAACAACCTCCATGTGGAGACCGACGAGAAGCGGCTGCACGAGATGTCGGCGGAGTGTGAAGGCGCCGCCACTACCAGCGGCGGGTTTTCGGGGCCGGGCAGCCAACGGGGCAAAAGACACGCTTCGCCCGCACCCTCTACAACTAGCAGCACGAGCAGCGCGAGCGATGAGCGCAAACCTACGGCAAAATTCGGTAGGCCTCCCTTCTTAATCTGCCGCTACCCATCAACAATCAGCCTTAACCACTAATAGGAGTCACGTAGTTTTGTCCAAATTAACACCAGTTTTTTTCTGCGTCATTAATAGTGTTAAATCAACTTAAATCAGGTTCGGCCTCACCTCAGGCGGTTCGCAAACTGCTGGCCTTGTCCGAGACGGCTAAAGCCAGGCCGCATCAGCCTCGTCAACCCGCGACTCACGGTGTGCCCATTAACCAACCTAGTCCTGCTGTTAGGAGAGCTCCTAGCGCCACAGGTAACTAACCTTATTAATAAGTGCATTGCTAACCTTGTTGGACATCCATCATCCAATTGGCGATGAGCTGGAACTGGCGACAAGTTGTCCAGTCAACGATGCCCAAAAGTGCTCGCATTACTCTGCATGACAGTACATTTTCCACGCATCTCATCAAGCTGGAACAAATAACAATTGAGGGTTTTTGCTAACACCTAAATGTTGTCAACAGGAAGTTACTCGAGCTACGGATCGCACAGCTCCAGCAGCTCCGGAACCGGAGGCAGAGCGATGCATGAGCGCTCCCACTCCGACACGCCAACCCCCCTCCCATCGGTGGCTCTGTCTGCTGAGAGCAGCAGCGTGACATCGCTCAGTAACTTGCCCTTGCGCAAGACTCTGACCTCAGGTGAGTGGCTCTAAATCCCGTGTTTTGATGCCTGAGTTCAATGGATTTCATATAGAGCTGTGACATGGAGTTGACAGTCCTTGCGTGGCTGATTGGATGTTGTCTGACGAAACGTTTGCCGCATTGGGTCTATTTGTTTTCTTTTGCGATGTCAGAAGGCGCCCAATGACAGTCTAGTCCTCTTTGCTCCGTCTTTAGTCATTTAGCGCAGGCGATGTCAACTCGCCCACTGTCTCACTTGGCAGGCTGTGGGTTTGACATTGCTCTTCTGACACGCTCCTAAGCTTAAAGGGGTTGAAATCGCACCAAAACCCGCTGTTTCTTCTTCCGCTCGCACTCTATGGTGGCATGTCTTTCTCTATAGGATCGGTCACGTCTTCCGACTCGGGGCACAGTACCATAAGTCAGATTACCACGGGATCGATGGGGGATTGCCATCCCTACCCTGCAGCACGTTGCCCCAGCCCCTCTAGGCAGTCCAACCTACTACCAGCAGGTATGTGTAACGGCTTAGGCTATAGCGCTTTTGTGTGCGACCACCACTGAAAAACTGGGGAAGTTCCGTTTTATGCTTAGTGAAGGGGCTAAACTAAAACCAAAGACTAACAAGAGGTTGCACTGAGGCAGGACAAAAATCCCTCTTATTACTCTTTGCTAAAACCCTGTGTATACAAAACGAAAAATAATTGGGCATGTCATGCTTAAAACCAATGCTCAACATCAATGTTTCAATGGTGTTTGTTGTTATCAATGGTGATAGGCTGGTGTTCGCGACCTGGTGCTATTCCGCCTTGTCCTCATGCTGTGGCCGTGTTGCCTCCCTTGCCTCATGCTTTGCGCAATGGTAAGTGTTTCTCCTGCTTGACCTTCCGCTTAGACGCTTCGTGGCGTGAAAACTTGGCAGTTTGCCTCTATGCTTGCCAATGCATGCGCTCATCGACCGACAGTAGTACTGGGTTTGAGTTGCAAACTGTGTTTTACAGGAGCGAATAGAAGACAGCCTCCGTCGTATAGCGTGGCCGCCCATATGGCGCGGCTTCACCGACTAGGGAGGGCTCATTCTCATGAAGGCGTTACCCAAGGTTACCACTTCCATACGGATCCGGATACTGATCAGGGTAGGTGTTGGTGATGGCTTCGACAGAAGACATCCTGAACAGGAACAAATGTTGTGTTTTGTTTAGGTGACGACGAACTTACTGACTCCTCACTTGACTCTGACACCGTCATTATTATGGTGTAACGACCACTACTTATTTAAGCGACTCACTTGACGGCTTGAACCGACTGACTTGAGTAGTCCATAGGTCCCCCTAGAGGTTCTATTGAGAACTAATGTTTTTTGTTCTTGTTGTTGTTGACAGATGACGAAGAGACTCAAGTGTCAGCTGTCTAATACTCAAATTACCCTCTGGCACCTGGATAAGTCCCACATGCAGTCATCGTTTTAAGGTACTGGGACTAACATTAAATGGCATCACTAAAGTTTCTTGGCGCATTTAATGGTTCTCCCCGCGTCTGGTACCTGATTAGAAGCTAGTTAAGTTCTATTCTACCATAGATCTGTCATATATTTATAAAACTGCAATGTCTATGGATCTTTTATCATTTTGTACATATTTTGATAGGTTTAGTTCTAAGGCTCCTTGGAGAACGCTACTGATTAGCACCGTTTTCTGTTTAATCAGTATTTTGACTCTCTCAAATGTTTTTTTTACATAATTGCCATATTTCTAAGTAAGTTGCCTGAAGTCGACCGTCTTGAAAACTAATGTAGTGCAAACCCCAAAGTGACAAGGTTTACATTTGAATATTATAATACTATCTAATCATTCCATGTAAATACTATGTATTCTCTATGACATATCCTGTTGATCTTGAACTGTATCCCGAACACTCAGTATTAGAACTTGTCAAAAGATTGAATTCCATTGTTTTGGCAACTAGATTTTCCCATGATTGCTGGTTCATATGATAATCCCTTCATTGACTGATATTTAACTGTCTTTCGTCTAACTCCATCCTACTAATAAGCCTGTCAAGAACGCAGTCATTGCAATTGATTACGATGTGGAATAGGGTGGCAATGACTAGAGTGAACTTTTATGTCAACGTTTTATACCTAAGAAGAATAGAAGATTTTTGTGTTGCAATTCTCATAGGTTAATGTGATCGAACTAGTCTCGCTCGTTTTCTTTCATCCAGGCGCAACTCTTTGCCAACCAAAGAGTTCCGCCACTGGATGCTCTTCTCAAATGATATTATGTATAATTGCGTTTTGTTTTTAAGATATATGTAATATATGTACAAACTTGATTCCAATCACACATTATAAATGGCTATATAGAGATGTAATTTTATTATGCCAGATATAATTTTAAATAAATTATTATAAATTATATTGTGGATTTACTTATTATACTAAGTCGCCTAAACCAAACTCTCCCCAGTTTAACTAGGGAAATCTACAGGAATTAAGCCCCAAATATAGCATGCTATCGAGAATATCGGTGCAAGGCTGTGCATAGCGTGTTCCACTAGCATTTATTGTCGGAATCCCGCACAAAAAGACAACGACCGAGATTATAAAGGCTTCTACTCCTCGATGCGTTACAGTATCAAAACAGCCATGTACAGCACAGGGGCCAGTGGCACGAAAAAACAAAAACCCTCCGCTAGCTACCTAGTGAGACCCAAATTGGGGGCTTTGAGGTCTTTGTACTCCACCAGGCCTTTATCGGCTCTATCCAATGAAAAGCGCAAAAAACCCAAGTAAGTACAAGAGCAACTTAACGATAAAGGCGTAAGTCACCTTTCCCGGCGTTTCGATTATTCCTCCACTCTGAAGATGTAAGCCGCTCGCACTTGCCATCAGTTTCACCAATTTAATTTCTCGAGAGATAGTTTTGCGCGGCTTAAAAATTGCTTAAAACTGGTGAGTTTTTCGTCTAAAAGCCCTAAAAACTAACCAGTTTAACTCTAAATGAGCCTGATTGTTGACGGCAATTTTTTATCCACAAACATTCCGTAAGCCTTTTATGTAAAAAAAATCCGGCCAAAGCAAATAACTAAAAAAAGTGGGAGCCTTCGGTGGTTGCTATTCTATTATCGATCAAACATTGAACCTAAGGCATAAACAAGAACGATACATTGCATGTTTGGGCCTCATTACGGTCATCCTTAAGACTTCCTCAAATCTCCAGCAAATTGTAGAAATATTCCCCAATGAAAGAATGACTCAACATGCAAGAAATGTTATTGATTGGCCAGCAGGGCTCTGCATGCTTTCGGCAGGTAAATACAAACACAGTGGACCCTCGGGCAACATAAAAATGACCTCAGCGGTCAATTCGTGTCTCATTGCACTTGCATTAACGTGGGGTGCGGTTTTAAAGGTTCAAGTACGTCTCCAGCTGGCCATTTTCACTCAGAATGTTTCAAAAACAGTCTTTTTGACGGTAATTTCGAAATTTTCTAAGCAGGAAATCAGTCAACCCGCCCAAGATGGACTTTAGAAGAAAGCCAGACTATGCGGACACGGCGTATCGTGAAGCTGTTGGACGCTTGAGAATTCTGATGGCAGAAAGCTATACACCGGTTAGAAGGTAAAACAACCACACATGATTGTAATTGTGAAAAACGTTCAATAAAATCGCCGTTTAATCAGTAGAGTGTATGGAACAAGAACAATTCGCGAACTGGACAGTGCAGGCGAAGACACCGACAATCAGTCGATGATAAGTGGAGGCAGCAGAAACTCCAGATCGGGTAAAGCCTACTATAGCTACAACTACACCCCAATCCAGCCGCGAAAGTACCAATACGCGCCCCTGAGAAGCAACATTGGGACGCAAAGCGAAAAAAACATCCCTCCAGAAGCCGCAAAGCACGAACCGCCCCAACCCGAACTGATGTCCTTCATTGAACGGCAAGAGGACTACATTGAGCAGCTGGAAAAAGAGTCCAGATTCTGCAAGGTAAACCAAAACTACTCAGACTTAATTGAGGCAAAACAGCAACGCGCTGTTGCTTCCAGGACGAATTATCATCGCTGCTTTCCAAAGTCAAAGAAGTCATCAGCGAAAACGAGCACTTGCACGAGAAACAAAAGTCCAAACTAATCAAGTCGGTGTTCGAGCATTTGGAGACTGAAACCGACACTGAAACTGAATTCGTGCTGCAAGACAAAGGCGTAAGCTTCCAACTAACTCTTAGTCCAATGCACTCAATAGATAACAACACGCAGATATCGAAGAAAAAACGAATCATTGAAGGCCCTTCGATTGTCTTCGAATCGCGCATATCCGAACTGGAGGCCCAACTAACCCAGGCCAGAATCGATCTGAGAAAAGCGCAAGAAGACAACGATTCTCTTAGAAGGAAACAGTCCGATGACTCACATCAAGACAGCAACAGCTGCGATAACTTCAAGCGGCAGCTGGACAACTGCAACAGGTTTCTATTGACTACTGAAACCTCTGGTCTATTTAAATAAGCACCCACTCTAGGGACAAGGAGGAGTTACTGAACAAACTGAAAAGCCTGCAGGCAGCGCTTTCAGCGCTGCGCAACAAAGAGAACGACACGTGCGACCAAGCGAAGCGCAGCCTGGATGTAGCTGAGCAGGCCCAGTACGAGAAAAGCGCCGCCGAGCTCGAAATCAGACGCCTCAAAGACGAGCTGGAAAGGCAGCACTCCAAGCTACGCGATTCCATAGCCGAACAGGTACTGAACACCACAAAAGCATAGTACTACTGGTAATTATTAAGAACCTCAAAACCTCCTTGACGCTGTGTAATGTGCTTATATGTTCATAATAATTGCCGGTTTTTTAATTAATCAGCATTTTAGGGCCGAAGAATTGCCGATGAGCGCTCAGCGGTTGAGCGCCGCTACACGCAGCAAATAGAGCAGCTGACTACTGAGGTGGGGGTTCAATGGGAGACGACCAACAAGCTCCAACTGGAGCTGGATAAGCAGAGGCGCGAGGGCGCCGACTTGCGAAGAGAGTGCGTCCAAAAACAAGCTCTGATCGACGAGCTGAAAAAGGAGATGCAAAACAAAATACGTAAGTGTCCGCACTAAATCTCCTATTGGCCACTTTAATACTGTTCATAGTGAGCCTCCAATCGGACATCGGAGTGACTGGGGCGGAGAAGAGCGCCTTAGAACAGCAACTCTCCGCTCTAAACTTGGCCAATGAGCGCACGGAACGACAGTACAAGCAGGAGATCACGCGGCTGCAGGCCGAAATTCAGTCTTTGCGCCAAAGAATGGACAGGGCTGATGCCGATCTGATACACAGCAGACGTGAGAATATTCGCCTGAATGAGCAGATTGCTTCGCTTGAAAAGGAGGTAAAGTATTAGGCGGGTAGCAGGAAAAATGCTCATATTGATTTGTTAAAGATTAATCTAAACGCCGCCCTCAGTGAAGAAAGGGCCAAATCGACGACGCCCAGAACAGCAGATATTATGGCCCTGCCTCCTCCCGCTCCTAAAAAGGACGACAGAGAGAAGGAACTGACCTCCATGATCCAGGACATGGAAAACAAGCATGGTAATTTAACAAATGGCTTCCCCACACTACGCGCTTCAGTTCAGAGCACATCAAACATCTTGCCTGGCTTGGTACGATTCAAGTACTAAAATCATGCACCCTTTGAATCACTTTTCATTGACATGAGTTGATTTGGGAGTTTTACTATCGCTTAAATCCTATTGGTTGTTGCAGCGGCCACTGTAGCCGATCTAGAGCGTATGATCCACTCCCAAAATCAACTCATGGGCAAACTGTCGTCTGAGTGCCACGCCCTTACACGGAAACTCGATGACGCTGGCCACAAACATAAGTAAGACATTTCCTATTATTCTCCATTAGCTGAACTGAGATGCCAAAACGACAATAAAATCAACGCCACAAATAACGGGATTATATCTTAATGAAGGCTTGTGTTTGGTAGGGTCGAGCCATCAGCAGTCCGCTGCCGCAAAGTCAGAAATAAGCGCGTCCGATTCGCTGACTGTTCAATCGACCAAACGCAAGGAACCAATTAAGATCGACATTAATGTCAAAGTAATACCCAAAGTACGAAAGGTCAGTTTACTAACGTAGATTGGACATAAAACAGTGACCAATCGACGGTGGCATGCCACAAAACTCACTTGTAAACTTCTACTTCCAAAGCCACTTATATCTCGCAACTTGTGACGTTCTGTTGTTATAGGGAGGAAATACGGGAACTACAAACTAGCCTAGTTCGACTAAACAACAAATTCAGCCAGGCACAATATAGCAAAACCAATTCAAAAGGTATGCAATTAACTACTGGTTTAAAAAAGCAACAAATAAATGGACATTTCAACAGATGAAGATCAAAGAACCGCACTTCCTTCTACCTCACCTCCGAAGATGCGACGATCCGAAAGCCGATCGTCTTTAAAGCAGCGAAGTCGCACATCTTCGCGGCAGGCCAGCCAGGAGAAACTGTCCCCGGCTTCCACAAGTCTTCAACAGTCGCCAAAAAATGCACCTCAAGCGGCTAATAAAGAGCCCAAATCCCCCACTGATCCTCAAACGGAGGAAAAAGGAAAAAATCACCAGCAAGACCTGAGGGCGCGGTCCCAAGCACCTGAGCCCCTCCAACAGTATACAGCTGAGGAACCATATGGCATTAATCAGGAATACCCGCCTGATCCTCATCAGCAATACTTAGAGGATCCTAATCAACAGTACCTAGCTGATCCTCATCAAGAATACGCCGCGGATCCGCAGTATCAATTCGACCCGAATATACAATATGACCCCAATCAGCAATACCAGGAGGATTTACAGGGCATGTACGACCCCAATCAGCAATACGACCCCAGCCAGTATCAACCGTATAATGAAGACACTGAGCAACAACCAAACCAGTACCAAAGTTACCCTGACTCTAACACAGAAAATCCGGCTAATAGAGCGTCTTAATTCGAGTGGAAATGTTGAAAGTTGGGGAAAGCGGGGGTAAGGACTGATGTGCAATATATATATGTAGTAGTTCTAGTGAATAGTAAATCGCCCTTATATTTAAATGCTTTCGAACGTTTAACAATTTACTTGTATCATTAAAGTGTAAAATAAATACATCATTCGCCTACTAGCCGCTTGGCTACTTACGCCGCATCCTCCATGTCAAAGTTGGTCTGGAAATATTCCAGCCGCTGTACAATTGGCAAATGCTTGCTCCTTATCAAAGTATTCTCATTTCCTAACACTGTAAACATGGCTTCGCCCTCTTTACCCATTAGATCCCTTAGGGCTTTGTTTCTTTCCAAAATATGGCTGTAGAACTGCCGGCCACCCTCAGCGAAAATCGGATCTAATTCCTTTAACTCTGCGTCAACATTTTCCTCATACATAGTTTGCACCAAGTCCGTGCACATGATGTAATTTCCTAAGTTGAACAGCGCTATAATTGTATATCCCAAAAACCTAACTTGTCTTGGCTTGTTCAACAGATCGAACCGTTTGTTGAGGAACGTGGATCCAAGATACGTTAAACTACAAGCCAAGAACGCGTATCCTGTGTCGATGAAAAACTTCAAACTGTCCCTCATTTTAATTTCTCGTGCCATCGCAAACAACTGGGCTTCTTCTGGCATAACTAAAGCCTTCAGTAGCTGTTTTCCGGACTCCATTTCCCATACAACCTTATTTTGGTTGACCTTAAATTGCATATTGAGAATGCCAAAGGCTTTTATTACTTCAGATACGAACCAAAATGTTTGATTTATCAATAGAGTCTTCACTCTCAAATTGGAAGTTAACAGGAATTCCTACGTGCACTCCAAACCTGCCATACGTTCCGAGACTAATTGCATCAAAGCCACACGCCATAAAGGGCTGAAACCTGGGTTTTTCATATTCATCAATCTACCAAAAGAATTAGGAAGAATTATCAATGCTCCCTAAATATAATCAAAGCGGATACCTGGAGCAAATCCAAAGCTTTATTAAATCTTTTGACCAGCACATCTGGCACCGGTACCGGTATTCCTTTGCTACAACACGACTAAGTTACACCCATAAAACAAACCTTACGACCAGTGGTACCTGTAAAGCCGCACAAAGTTTTTATACTTGGACAGCAGAATGGTGTGGGGCAGAATGTGCCCCATCAGGACAGCGGTCGTACTAAACGTGGCAGCGAACAGAGAAGCATTTTGACCCTTTTCCGTTAAAAACCAGTTTTTCTGTATTATTTCTTTAGTTCGCAAATGGGCCATTTTAATCGGACTTTTACACAGTATCCAAGGAAAACTTTGATTGAGGTTTGTGAGGTTAGATAACGCAGTTTGAGGTTACGATGGCATGCGAGTAATTTTTTTGTGTATTTCGCATAGCAACACTAAGCCGGTAATTCGTCAAGAACGATGTAAGAAAAACTGGATACGCAAAACACGCTTATCAACTTACGGGATTGGAAACTGAATCTGCCATCTAGAATCCATGGAAAATCCAGGGGTTTATTTACTCTGGTACAAACTCTCCACTAATTTAACTTCCATGCATGCGATTCCATTCTCCATTTAAGAACCGATAATATCGAACTCGTCTTTATCTCCGGCCGAACACTGAAGAAAATTTTGATGGGACCGCAAGATGGCCAAGACTTTTCAATTCAATGTCACTGTCAGCTTGTGACAGTCTTGCTTAGGAAACTCAAGGAAATTTCAATTCCAAAGTTTTCACAATTACATAACGCTCATACCCGATAATGGCATCAAACATCGCCAAGCGAAGCTTGTTCAGGGCAATTGGGGTAAGACGCAAACCTAAAAACGTTATCCGCTCAAATTAATGTTACATAAATTGCTTTGCAGACCAGAGGCTATGCCCAATTGTCCCCAGTAAGCGGCACAACCAGCTACGACGTGAAAACCAGCCTGCTGTCCAACAAGCTCGTTGTGGTGGCAGCGGAAAACGAGTCGCCCATTGCCAGAGTTTCCATAGTCTTCAGGTAACATGCGTTCAAACTGTAGAGCATTGAAACTTTCCAATACACAACCATTTCAGGGCTGGCGCTCGAAACGAAACAGCTGAAAATGTGGGTGTCACTCATGTTCTGAGGGTGGCAGCCGGTTTGTCCACTCGAAACAAGAGCCAGTTCGCTATTGTTCGCAATATCCAGCAAGTGGGGGCAAATCTGATTGCCACTGCTGATCGCGAAACAATTTCATACACTTTGGAGGGCACCAGACAGGCTGTCGAACAGGCTTTGCCTTTCTTGGCCGAAGTGGCCACTCAACAGGTGTTCAAACCCTGGGAAGTGGTCGAACTTAGCGATCGCCTCAAGCTTGAATTGGCTGTACGCCCGTTACAGGCAAGTAGCGAAGCCTCTCATTTATTCAGTTAAACTTAAAGAAAACTCCAGGTGAGGGCAGTGGATCTGCTCCACAAGGCCGCATTCCGCACCGGTCTTGGCAACTCCCTGTTTGTTCCAAAGTTCCAAATTGGGAAAATTTCCTCAGAAACATTGCAGCATTATGTCGCCTCAAACTTCGTTTCGGGTCGCAGCGCCGTTGTTGGACTCGGCCTGGATGAAGCCAAAGTGAAGCAGCTGGCGCAGTCTTTGAGCTTGAGCGACAACGATGGCGTGAACAATGCCAGCCCTTATAAAGGCGGCGAAATTAGGTCTGTATGCCCTACTCATTCCGAAATCAGCTCTATATTGACTTTCGCTCATCTAGGTCAGACAAAGGAGGCGACTTTGCTTTCGTTGCAATTGCCGGAGAGGGAGCACCGGTGACAAACGCCAAGGAAGCTGTGGCTGCCGCTGTTCTACAACGGGCTCTTGGCGTAGGTCCACAAGTTAGTTCAATACACCACGGTTCCTCAATTTGGTTCAAGTCAAATCGCGCTATTTTTAAAGATCAAATGGAGTACGAGCGACAACGGCATCCTGAGCAAAGCAATTGCTGGAGCATCCAGTGAGCCGTTTGCTTCCTCTGCCATTAATGCCAACTACTCAGACACTGGATTGGTGGGCGTTTTGCTTGCGGCCCCCGCCAGATCAGCAGGAAAACTAGTTGAAGGTGCCGTGAAAGTACTGAAGAGTGGAAGCGTGTCCGATGCAGATGTGGCTCGCGGTAGGTCTCAAAGTGAAAGAGCTTCAAGAAAACACACGCAAGTTGGGTTTCAGGAAAGGCCCAACTGAAAGCCTCTGTTCTTCTGGAGTTGGAAAGCGGTTCCAGAGCTGTTCAGCTCTTGGGAACTCAAGCTGTCTTAACCGGAGCTGCTATATCTCCTTGTGAGCTGGCAAGCGCCATTGACTCAGTCACCACTGGGGATGTGCGCAACGTAAGTGGCTCGCGTAGTCGCTGAGCCGATTTAAATCAAACCCAAATTTACAGGCTCTCCAGAAAGCTGGCAAAAAGCTCACTATTGCCGCAGTAGGCAATCTGTCCACCGTACCTTATGCTGACGAATTGAAATAAACCTGAATACGTAGGTGTCTATACCACAGTATAGTCGCAAAGTATTTAAGTAAGTTTGTTTTATATCGTGTAATTTAAAGCTCTTTGAGAATAAATGTGATTTAATTGTTTGTAGGCTTTTTGTTACTTTCAACCAGTTCTAACTAAATGGAAGGTGTAGATGGATTTTTTAAAGGAGGCTTGAGGAAGGCTTGCAATTAATCTAAGGATAGACCAATAGAACCAATATATGGCCGTACGAGCTTCTTACAAAGCCGCAACAACTATTATACTGACCAGAAGAATAATTATCACAATCCAGTACCCACAAGTATTATCTTTCCTACCTACTGTGCCCACCCTTTCGGTCTCCACTCGCACTCTCTGATCAGTTCGATCAATTTGAATGCCTATATCCCCAATGATTTCTGAAATTCAAAGCTTTCCTTTAAAAAGCCAAGAATTTCTCTTAAGCGGTATTGGCTATTGGTGTGGCTGAATTGAAGCAATCACTTACCATTATGAAAATCCACTTCGTTTGCAATTGTGTGCGCAATGTCTTTTTGTCTGGAGATTATTTTCGAGAGATTCTCCAAGCCTTTCTCTTGATCTAAAAGCATCAGCGCGATTCAGTTCAGGACCGTTCTTGCCGGGGGAGTAAACTCACCACTCAACATTTCCTGTTGCTTCGCCCGCATATTATCAACAGACACTCTTGATGTTCCGCTGCTGTATTCATCCCAATCTATACTTCGAGGGCCCAGCAAAGTTTGCCGTTCTTCCATTCGCTTTTCCGTTAGCTGCTCGTTAAACAGTTTCTGCATCTGAAGGGCCTTGGTCAGGAGAACCTCTATTTGCCGCACACGCCTTTCGGATTCCGCCGCAGTTCTGAACTAGTTCGTTAAGGACTTGGGTCTTCCCTTTTGGTAAGTTACTCCCGGAAAGGATACATTGCATTAGAGCCTGAAGAAGCATCCAGTTTCTGTTTGAGCTGATCCACTTCGTTGTTAAACTGCTTCAGCCTCAGCCTGATATCAGCGGAGATCTGAGCATAAAGCGAGTGCGTTCTGGGGAATTTCTGCCTCTCAGTCAGCTGCCCCATGATCTCTCTTTGGAGCTTTTCGCAGGATTCATGCTCCAGAATCCTGCAAATGTTGGCAACAGCCAATAAAACTGGAATAAACTCGCACCATTGATGCCTACCAAGGATCTTCTTCCAGAAACAAAAGAGCCATTATTGAATGGGGACGGAGTAAAACCAATTTAATCAAAATAAAAATAATAAACAAACACCCATGACATTTACGCCCGAAGTGTCGAGGTTAGCCCCGGAATCTTCCCCCGTTTGACTGAATCCACCAGTGAGCTTCATTGCTGAGCGATCACTTTTTTCTCACTTGCAAACTTGATGTGTCTCTTTTGATCACAAAGAATGTTTTGATCTAAACAAGGCCAATTGACATTGACATAAACAGGAAGCATAGATGAAGACAGGAAGTGCTTTCATCACATCTGTCACAAGTCGATGTGAATTATAAAGTTGCTTTAAATATAAACGTGTAAACTTTAAGTGGTTTTCTGTTCGGTTGCGGGATAGTTTTTGCGCCTAGTGCATCATGCGAAGGCAATCGCCCCATCGGTCAGTTCGTCGTAGGTCGCTATCGAAAAGAAGACGGTTCTCATTGAGCCCCCTATCTAGAAACCAACCAGCACCTCCAGGCGAAGAACGCAATCGGAAGTCAATTGGCTGGGATGGCAGCAAAGGGGGTAAACGTTTCCGGAGCAGGTCCAGGTCAGTGGAATGGGTCGGGGGTGAGTTAGGCAGGGTGAGCCCATTCGCTGGCATGGGCGATCAGGGGCGGGCGAGAAGTCGGGACTATTCAAGGGATAAGTACGTGAGGAGCCGGGAGTTTGACAAACCTAGGGAACGGGCGCATTTGAAGGAATCGAAGCACCATCACCGGCGCCGTTCATCTCAAGACCCCCTACTGAGCCACGTTGAAGGCTACGAGGAGAGTTACCTTGATCTTCATGAGACTCAAGGATTCGGAAACAATTCCAGCATCCACAAGAAGCATGAAGGAAAGCTGATTCTGGATCCTTCATCTATTAGCTTCAACACATTCACCCCAGACTTGAGATCGACGCTAAAATCCCAAGATAAGCTGCCTGATGTTGCCAGGGGCAAGGAAAGTGAATCAACCCGGGGCCACTTAAAGGTCAGGGGCTTTCAGCAGCACGCTGCGACTCCTGCACGCCAAGAACCGATGCATCTAAAAGAAGCTGAAGCTGCGGCCGACCGGATTAATCGCTTGGAGAAACTGGTGGAGAAGTTGGTGGAAAAGGGCAACACAAATAGCTCCACGTCAAAGGACTCGAAGCGATCTAAGAACAAAATCTTTGAGCTGATTCCCAGTAGCACCAAGTTCACGACATCAATGTGGCTGAACTGTATCCATGAGGAGTGTTTGCTGAGGAATTATGAAGAGAAATCCAGCATCAATTTCCTGCAGGATCAAATGACGGGCATTATGAAGGCCTGGTTTAAAAGCGTGGCGAGTTACGACTTCACCTGGCCGGAGCTGCGAATGCTGATCACTAAAACGTTTCCTGATAATGTGGACTTTGCCCATACTTTGAAGCTACTCGTGACCAGAGACAAGTCGGTGGAGGAAACCGTCACCCAGTACTATTTCAGCAAACTCTACTTGTGCGAAGCCTGCAAAATAACTGGAGAAAACGCCGTTTCCTGCCTGATTGACGGGCTGAATAATCCGTTCGTGAAACAGGACATTAAAGCCCGAAAATTCCTCACTCCTGAGGTGCTGTACGCAGATTATCTATCCAAGATTCCAGAGAGCGAGTTCTCAGTGCATGCTGACCATCGGGAGGTGGTTGCTGAGTATCCCAGGGAATCTTATGCGGAGTCATTGACCATGGACGACATCCAGGAGCAGAAGGTGGATAGCGTGTCTTCGCACTCCAATAAATACCGGGAAAAGAAATGTTATACATGTAACAGAATAGGGCATTTGGGCAAAGACTGCAGGCATGCCCCCATCTGCTACAACTGCAACCAAAAGGGCCACATTGCAGCCAAGTGTCTATACAAGAAAAACAACTTAACACATTAATGTGAGTAAGAAACAAGATTAATGTGTGAGTAGAAAGCGAGCGCGCAATTCACTCAAAAACGATGGAATTCTGATGGAAAAATCCGTATACATTTCACAATATTCAACGGGAGTTTATTAATTAGTTTTAACAGTTTGCATTTCTGAACCGCATGTTTTTTCATTGTTTTACTCTGATCTGTAGACGTTAATCAATGGCTTATAACTACACATTTAATTGTTAGAATGTAAAGGGTGCGGAGAAAAACAAAACATTGAAATCTCAAGGGGTTTTACTGCTTTTCGACTTCTTGGCTAAATTGGGTAAGAAATCATTTATTTGTTCCACTATTTGGCAACGCGTCAGAAAGAACCGCATCGGATAGCATAGTAGTATGTTTAATCGTGTGTAAAAGTATGAATATAATGCAGTAACAGAATAATGTTGTTGGAATATGTTTTATTGAAGACTACAGAACCACAGTTTAGAATGGAGCAGTTTTGATAGTGCACACAAGCATTCATGAAAATGGGAGGAATTGCGCCCAGCTAGTGATTGACTGGATAGAGTAAAAAGAAAACTTGGTCCAATAGTGATTTTTTTGTGTCAGTGTGTTTCAAGTAGTTCGAAGCGCGAATATCATCAAGTGAAACTAGCATACGAATGAGGAAGAATGGAACTAGAAGGAAGTTTCTAGACGTGTGTTATTTCAATTACCCGAAACGATGAGTCGAAATTTGTGCTTTTTAAACTTGTGCGATAACTACAGAGTGAGTGTTCTTGGGCAAATGATCTTCTAAACTAGACGATATGAAGAGTCTGTTTAGTGGGAAAAGGTTTGCAGCTTTGTGGGCCGAATCGGACAACTCTATCCCGTAGAGAAAAGCTCTATTGTTGAAGTGGGTACATACTTATAGAACAGTGTATCTTGATAATTTGCCTAAAATTTAGGGAATGTTGTCGCTGCGTTGATTATGAATTGATAGTGAGTACGCACTCTTTATTATACAGGGTGTCCCGTAAGCACATGATCAAAAGGATGCTGCGAGTTTCTTTGCAGCAAAAGAAGACGATCTGACCTAACTTTTATTAACAAAAAATGTCTGGCTCCTCTGCTATTGATGGTCAAAGTTCTTTAAAAAAATTTGTTTTTTGAAATATCGGGGGAATGGTACGATGTATTTTAGTGAAACTCGCTGTGAATTTGTTCTTATGTAAGACTCATATTTTGGTGAATTCTTGAGTGTGGTGGTACAGAAACTACCAGCACATTTTATTTGGTAGATGAAATCAACTCATTTTTTTGGTTGATGCACTAACATTGTTAAATGGCAAGAAAACAGACAACTTTTTTGCGCGGAAACTATGAATGCTACAAGATTTTACAAAGGGCACAAAATTGTGAATACATGATGAGTGCATCAACCAAAAAAAATGCGTTGATTCTATCCACCAAATAAAAAGTTCTGGTAGTTTTTGTACCACGACACTCAAGAATTCACCAATTGTCCAAAACGGATGAACTCGATTGTTTCATCAAAATATGAGTTTTACATAAGAACAAATTTAAATCGAGTTTCACCATAATACATCGTACCATACTCCCGATATTTCAAAAAAGATAAATTTTTTTGAAGAACTTTATCAATAGCAGAGGAGTCAGACATTTTTTGTTAATAAAAGTTTGGTCAGATCGCCTTCTTTTGATCCAAAGAATATCGCAGTACCCTTTTGATCATGTGCACCCTGTATAAGAAACGAAATTAGGACATGTATTCCGGGCTTTTCTTGCGACTGTCTTTTTTATATAAACAAGATAGTGGTAATAAAAGCCCTGATAAAATTCCCTAAATTTGAGGCAAAATTTCAAACTCTAACGGTTAATATGGAGCAAACTGAGCTGATTCAGCTCGAAAAAATCCCACAGTTACTTAATGCACCATCTGTAAAAAACATTCCAATGCCAATATTAATAAAGCAAATCCAATCACCATCAGCTAAGAGCTTAGCAAATAGCAGCCTCGTTCAATTGACTACCTCAGCTCCCGGCCAATCCCGGATTTAATATTAATAAACCGGCTTATCTAATCGCTGCCCTTTTCCTGAATAAACTTTACACTTTCACACAGTTCCAACATGTTTCAAGTCGAACTGGTTCTGGCAATTCAATGTTTTTTACTAGTTGGTGCATTAGCCAGCTACCATCCACTGTCCGACGAATACATTGAGTGGATAAACCAAAGACAGTCTCACTGGAGGGCTGGAAAGAACTTCAACACTTCCGAATGGACTCGAGTTAGAAACATGGCCTCAGGTAACGGGAGCTAAAGCAGGCCGTTAAAGGTACTGAGCAATGTGTGATAACAGGAGTTTGGCCGCAAAGTTTCGCAAAAGCCCCAGTGAAAGTGAGAGGAAATGGAGTGATCCCGGAATTTTTCGACGCGCGAATGGCTTGGCCCCAATGTGCCTCCATCAAGCAAATTTGGGATCAATCCCACTGCGGTTCCTGTTGGGTAAGAGGGGTTTTGAGTGAAACTAGAGTGATTGAGGGCATTTGCGTTGCTTAGGCCTTCAGTGCAGCGGCGGCAATGTCGGATAGAATCTGCATTCATTCCAAAGGCAGATTACAAGTGTTTGTGTCTGCGGAGGATCTGCTTGCCTGTTGTTCGGAATGCGGAGACGGATGCTTGGGAGGCGAAATCCCCAGAGCATGGTGGTATTGGCAGGCTTACGGTAGCAAGTCCCCAAAAAAGGAGGAAAATGTTTTCAGGAACTTGTATTTTGAAGGTATTGTGACTGGGGGGCTGTATAACTCCTCCCAGGGGTGTAAAGACTACAGTCTGCCCCCTTGCGAGCATCACATTGAGCGCCAGAGCAGGCCCCATTGTGACGATTTGGCTTTGCAAACTCCCCAATGCGTTAGAAAGTGTTATTCGACTTCATTGCAATATGAGGACTCGCTCACATTTGGCGGCCAAGTGAAGCAGTTTCTGACCGTAGAGGAAATCCAGCTGGAGATTTTGGAGAATGGCCCTGTCGAGGGTGCGATCGAGGTTTTCGACGACTTTTTCAGCTACAAATACGGTAAATTTCCGCAAAAGTAAATGGCCGATTGGGCAGAATGGGAGTTTAAGGTGTCTATAAAAGGACCAGCCACTACTACATAGGAGGTCACGCCATTAAAATAATTGGATGGGGCACAGAGAAGGGCATCCCGTATTGGCTGTGCACAAATTCTTGGAACAACGACTGGGGCAATCGTGGATACTTCAAGATCATTCGGGGAGAGAATCACTGCGGCGTTGAAGACCAAGTGTTTGCTTCCAAGCCAAGGATTGTGGATTTAGAGTAGTGTTGGCAATGTTTCGAGGGTTCGGAAAAAATAAACAGTTTCAGCTTTTTGAGATTTTTACTTGCCAATCCTAAATAATCAGCGTTTAGGGTAGGGATGACACAAACCAGTATTTTTCAGTCACAGGTTCCATGTGTGACTGTTCCAAGCTCGTACCTGTTCCAAGTATCTGATTTTTAGTCACATGTTATTTTGGCCCATGATAAATGCCCCGGCCCTAAAAAAGCACCGGACTGAAGCGTATTTTAAGTCCAGTCGGATTACACTTTAAAAGGCCTGTTTCGGGCACTAAAAATATGCTGGTAAAAGATTATTGGAAGTTGTTCGGAAGGATGTGAGAATATTGAGACAATAGTTTGTGCTCGATTTCCAGCTGTGGAACATTGTTTATAAACAATTATTTATAAATAATTAAAGAAAGTGAGAAAGTCCGTTTTTTGTGCATAATTGTTGAACCATTGATGCTATTGAAAAAAAGTTTTATCCTTTTTTTCAAGTATTAAAAATACCTATGATATCAAATAAACTACATTAAAATCCGTTTATTAGTTTACTCGAACATCGAAAAAAAACCGTCGATTTCAGCGTTTTGTTAATTTTCAATAATTAATTTAGTTTTATTTCAAGAAAATGGTACCATAACTTTTTTTGGTCAGTCAGTAATGAAATTTTCATTTACTGTACGTTGTAGTATAACTCCTTACAAGTTAAATACAGCTTCAGAGAAGTCTCTCCGACGTCTCAAGAAAAATTTGTTTAGAATCTGGCAAGAGCCCTTGTTACATAACAAATAGGAATGAACAAAAAGTTATTTATACCACTTATAAAGTATACAAACACCTTCAAAAAAAGTTATCGTGGGATTTTTTGGAGCAAAACCAAATTAATTATAAAACATTTTACTTTCATCTATTTAGTGCCCAGAAAAAATCTAATCTGATCCGACTGCACTAATTGTTCCATTGAAGGGTATCCACACCACTTCCTAGTAATTTAGATGCGAATCTGCTATGTTAATAAATTGTGTAACAATAGTAGGATAATACAATATATGAAAATTCGCTCTGATAATTCGTCTGTGCAAATTGTCAGTTATGTGACTTTGACTTAATCTCATTGTTTAAGTTAATAAAGGTAACGTTAATTAATAATTTTGGTGTAAATTTAATTTGGGTGTATGTTTCTTTAAATTTTTAAGTTTAATTAATTAATTAATTTTTAATTATTCTTTTTAACATTTTTTATGAGTAACGTTTTACCATTTTGTCGAAACCTTATTTGAACACAAAAAAGGTGACCACATTTTTTATCTTTCCCACTTAAGGGCAGTAAAATGTGAAAAATCTTCTATTTTCATGCTAATCACTGATTACAATTCATCTTATGGCTTAATTGAAAATTGACCATTTAATACTTTGCTTTGTTTGATATAAACAAATATTGAAACATGTCCAGACTAGGTAAATAGCGCCTATACAAATTTAAATGTAGTTCGTCCACTACTCCACTGGGCAGATGCAACAAATGCTATTTTATTTCAGAAGCACTGCTATTGATCGAAAAAGATCAAGTTTCAAGGGCAAGGAACAGCTCAGAATTCCGAAAAAACACTCAGTCAGTCACAGCCTGTGACTCACAGGCCTGGTCACATTAAAGAAAATATCGGAGACGGCTGTTACTGCTGTTTCCGACATTTTCTGTTCATTGAATTATTGCTATTTGCCGAATCATGGTGCACGTCCCACTCCCATACATACAAAACCTTACGACTTCACGAGAATAAAATATCTCCTTTCACTAAAACTCAGGCCAATTGACAATGCCGCGGGGAATCAAAAGACACAAAGGCAGGTATTTGCCTTTTTGCTTTGTTGAAATATCGAAATACCATGTTGTACTGGTCCTGACCAGCATCGTAGGCGAGCCCTGTTATTTTAAATATCGGTCACAGGTACCGACTGTTCCATACCGATACCTGTTCCAAAATACCTGTGCCAAGTATTTCGTGTCATCCCTAGTTTAGGGCCGGATAATTAGCAAAAAAAGTCCGAAATATCGAAAAGTATTACATATATTTTATAAACATATTACCGACATAATGCCAGTGAAGAAAACGTTTAATACACAGATTTTTATACACTAATTGTCCTAAATATGTTAAAGCCACTTTCGGCAGTGCTGATTAGTACTCCAGTCAACTGTTTGTGCCAGTGCAGCTCCTTGATATTATTTTGCCCTTGGTGGATGAATAGTAGCTGCGGAGGTACTTCCTGTGAACATTTAGAATGGCAATAAATTCCGAATTTAACCCAGCAATCAAATTAAGTTACCTCCATTTCCTCAGCTTCGGCATCTTTTTCCAACGACAAGTCCCACAGGGCGATTTGATTATCTGAGCCTCCAGACGCAAATACTGCTGAATCCGTTGGATGCCATTCCACCGAAGTCACGGACTTCGTGTGGTGTTTGAATGTGGCTAATGGGCTCTTTCGGTGGAACTGCCGCAGATCCCAAACGTATAAAAATCCATCATCTCCTCCTGCAATAGAAGAAGCGTCAGTCAACAGCCTCGGACCAGGTGAAATAATGTTTCTTACCACTAACAATAAAGGGCTCATTTCTGTTCCAACTGATCACGTTGACATCGCTTTCATGGGCGCGATTGCAAGTGAGCATGCACGCTTCAGCGGGATGCGCTCTGGTGTCCCAAATTCGAATGCTACTGTCCACGGAACAACTAGCCAACACATTTGGCTCGTTTGGGGACCATTGCAAGTCCTCCACTGAGTTGGTGTGTCCAATTAGCGGCCGTTGATCCACTAGCCACGCGCTGCCTGTTGGTTTCCAAATGTGGATGTCTTTTCTGCAATCTCCGGTGGCTAGAACCTGCAAACAATAAAATTAGTCGATTGGTTCCGATTTATGTCGCTGCTGATGCTAACCCCCGGTCGAGTTGGGCTCCAATCCATGGCAAAACCTTCGGTTGTATGTCCGGTGAATGTAAACACCGGCTTTAAAGAGTTTTGCTTGTTATCCTTGTTGTACTGCGATAGAAGTTGGTCAGAGTCCACGGCCTGCAGCTGAGGCGTCAAGTCCCAAATGTTCACTTTACCCAGCTCGCTCCAGGATGCCGCTAGAGCTGTCTCTTGCACCACGGTGCTCTAAAAAAGCCCACTTTAACCCAATTCATTCCTGCTATTGCACAAAACTTACTCTGATTCTGTTCACGCAACCCATGTGCTTTATCATCGCACCTGCCATCTTCGGATCGCTGACATCGTCTTCATCGTCCGACAGTTCTTCATCCTCATTGTCGCTATCCGCATTTTTGGTTTTTTGCAGATTTGACAATTTCATAACAATAACATTATTCACGTGGGAGTCGGCAGCCTGAGTCCCAGCCACGAGGTACGCGGTTAGAGGAAAAGTCTCCCGATTTGCACCTGAAAAAATAATATAGTTATACCAACAGACCTTTGACGTAAACCAAGTTTCATACCTAAGCGATCCTGGATAATATCGAAACTTAGACACGGGGCACTGGTTTGGGCTTGATGGTACATCAAGTAAGCACTGAGATCACATGTTAGCTCTTCGCCCTGCTCCAAAGGCCTGTCTGGAAGGTAAACCTGCGGCGCGCTGTCGATTTCCTGCTCGGTGTCTTCAACGATTTCATCATCTTCAGAACTAGAGCTGTGAGCGCTGGATACTTCCATTTCTTCGTCGGCCATCGTAGGAATGCCCCACTGATCGGGCACCGATAAATATCAAGCACGAGGTGCACACACTAAAACCATCCGCCGAAAAGTGAGGTTAGATTACTGAATGGTTACTGATGCAGATCAGACAATAACTTGTCAGGCAGTACTATCAAAGCATCGAAGATAAATACACAAAATATCCCCCCAGGGGGTATGTTCTGTGGATAAATAAAGCGAACTGAAGCAAATGAAAAGTGAACATAGAAACTAGCTACAGGTGGGGGTGTACCTGGACAATAAACGGTGAGGGCGAACGCTAGAGGCGCCGCGAGGATGATCTGTCAGTGTCAGTCTATATACGAACGATTATATAGTCGTTCTTTTCCTCTCGCAAGAGAGTATGTCTTTCCTTTTCGACTATCCTGTCCGTAAAAGACTGCAACACAGAACATACCCCCTTAGGTGGGATATTTTGTGGACTGCAACACGATTTGTTTTGCGCCGCCTAAGCGCAGTAGCGGCCTTCGCACAGTCGAAAAATTGTGCATCGTTGCCAAACTGCGGCCAAAGTAGAAAATCTCAATCAAAACAGAAAGGTAATTAATTCAAAGTTGAAACTTTGCAGACGTACGTTCATAGAGGAAATAGTAGCGCTGTGTCAGTGAAGAAAAGCAATGTCTCAAAACAAGGAAATTTAAAAATTATTTATTTGGAAAGGCACGGCACGGAAGGCAAAGGCATTTGGACACATTTGGCAGTTCTTGGGAAACTGAACGCGTGGGAAACGACCATAATTAAAGACGAGGGAACGACCCATAGAGAACGACCATAGGGAACAATCCAATACTAGCTGGTATTGAACACAAAATATCCCCCCTTACCCCATACCCCTAGGGGGTATGTTTTGTGGTATTGAACAATCGCGTGGTTAAGGAAGTGGTTATGATGTACTGGCAACTGCGCGAAAAATGTGTTCTGGCACGCCGGCCCAATGAGCATAACCATTGTGGCTTCCTTTGTTTTGGAAATTAATGAATTTCAGAGGGTGAAAAGTAGTAAAAAACGACATTTTCTCGAAAAATCTATAAGAAAATTGTTGTTTGTTATGAGATTTTCTATAAGGTCTGTAATCTGTTGTTGACAATTGACAATTGTTGATTATTGAGACTAGCGCATATATCCTCTCTGACTCCTTGCTTAAATGACATGCGCAAGTCAGTTTGAAGTTACATTAATCAAAACAAACTTCTATTTACCGAAACGGGTACTCGTCTTTATCTATGCGGGTATGTATTAGATGTGTATTAGGTATTAGGGCTCGGAATCAAACTCGAACAATTCGAGTATTCGAATATTCAAAAAGCGAATAATTATGTCTAGTCATAACTCGAAAATTCGAATACTGGAATACACCAACATTATCAAACTCACAAGGTGCAAATATCTTTATATGTACTTTGTATACTTTTATAAAATAAGTTATTCATATTCTAGAAGCATTTAAACAAATAGTCATATATTTACAAGCAAATGAAAATAATTATTTACCCTCCAGCAAATGAATATAAAATTACCTGTTTGTGTTCTGGTGACTCGCGACATCAACTTTTGCGCGGTGTTACAATTAGTGTGCCGACAAAGGCACTTTTTTATCCGTTGCGGCTTATTTAGAGTTTGATTCCGAGCCCCTAAGCATACCCGTTTTGGGAAATAGAAGTTTGTTTTGATTAACGTAACCTCAAACTGACTTGCGCATGTCATTTAAGCAAGGAGTCAGTTACGATAAGTCTTGTTTTATGGTGTGTGTAGTAATATTCAGGCCTCAGCGATGAAATCGGAAATAAAATCCAATTTCCTGAAGCAACCTGCCCAATTTTATATTGGTAATTTCGCCATTCTGTCCGGTGGTAGTGAATAATAGCGGCACAAGCAACATTTTTATTTGGACATTCGCCATGCCGTCTGGTCAAAGCGATGAATTACTTCAGTTAAAACTGGTGAGTTTTTTATAAGCCTCTGACTCATTTTTCTCATGTGAACAGAGCCGCGCAAACAACTTGTGTTTGTCACAACTACCACCCCTGAAGAGCCACCGTGCTTCCGAAACGCCAGGAAGAAATACATTGCTTGAGACTGTTGAAGTTTTTCGGTTTCTCGGCTTTTTCCGCTAAGAAAATAGTCTGTTTTGGAAGTTTCGTCAGCTCGAGTGCCTTGTTCCAAAGCATCGGGCAGAACTTTTTTTCACGTTGGCCTAAATGTTTGAAAAACTTATCAGTTTGAAGCACTGGCTACGAATGTGTGCTCTTTCGATAACGTCAGTTGTTTGTCTTCTAATGTGTATTTTCCTTGGAAATCCGTCAGGTTTATCTCTTTGGCCGCTTCTGAAAAAAATCCGCAATTTAATCAAATTCCCTGAATAATGATAACTAATCATTTGGTATGTGGTATACAGGCTGGATTTTTCGAGGCTCCTTCACCATTCTGTCCGGTTAAGGTGAATGCTCTCAATCCTGCTAATGGTTCTTTTTGGAACTGTTTTGCTCCGAAACATGGACAACCGGTTGAATTGTACAAATATCCTTTTTGGTCATGTGCGAGTTTTCCTATATTTTTATCCCAATTATCTTGTTTTGCTGGCGTTGACCTTCCAGGTCACTGTTATAAGAGCAACTTGATGTTAATTTATGAGATCATAGTGGTTAACAGTCACTACGCGTTCTTGACCGGTGTAAGACGCGATTTTTAGCTTTTTCTAGTCGACTGGACGTGGCAGGTATTTGCATCAATTGTCCCTGAAAGCAACTTCTTAGAACATTCTTTTCATTCCTCAGTGCTGCTTGTACTCAAGCTTGTGGGAATTTGCTAAACTCAGTTGTTAAACGAGCGCTTTCTGCTATTTTCCAGCTTGAAACTCATAGGGATTTCCACCAGAACGAACAGCGGAGTCCCCAATATGAAGGCCGTGTCTTTCGGCGCAGTTCTGCCACTTTTGTGGGCGCTCGCAGGAAATGTAGCGATTGTTTCGGCAGCAGTAGCGCGTTCTCAATCGCCGCAACGAGTCATGGAACCAGCCTTCGCTAATGCGGGCCAACGGGCCGGATTGGAAATTTGGAGAATTGAGGTGAGTTTGTCTTGAATTTGTATTTATTGTTTGTGACTGAAAAGGGTTTTTATCAATTGCACAATGTTTAATTGAAAAAGTTCTATTTTCCTATGGATTTATGGGCGTTCTCTTATCAGATAACAATCACTTTTTGTCTGTGTGTATTAGGAGAAAGGGCCATAAAGTTGGCTCGTTGGCTCGCTGATTTTAATGTTTCTAATAATTCAACGTATTTTAATGTGCAGAGAGTACCTTGACTGCCTGCCCTTGAATTCAGTGAAACAAAGTAAACTATAACAACCAGTTTTTGTTGTTGTTAATTAGCTGAGTCAGAGGATTTTCGCTTTATATGGGTAAACGCGTAAACTGAAGTTTAGCCAAGGTTTTGGAAAATCGCTTCTTTTGCTATTAAACTGTTGCGCTTTAAACGCAAAGGCGCAAGTACAAGACAACATTTTAGTGTGGTGTAGCACACATTAAGTCAAGGTATTGGAAAATCGCTCTTTTTACTGTTAATATGGTCCTTTTTACTTCGTTTTCATCAGTTTCATAGCAAAACAGAGATTTTACAAAACATTATATACATCTGCGTTTACTCCCAATTTTTTCGTAAAATCCTCTGATGCATCTTTGGCGCTTTTAGTCCCAAGCCAGTTGTTTTTCCGCTTATAGATAATGACACTAAGAAGCATATTTCACGCGTGACATCGCGCCTAAATAACACAGCCAGTAAATCTCCTATTTTTAGGAGAGTGTTTGTTTGAGTTGTCTTTCACTCAGGCAACTAGTTTGAACATTCGAGATTCTAATTGAAAAAGCCTGGTTTATTTGTGCGTGTAATTGTTCTTAGAGTTAATGCATTTCAAGTGTTTGCCAGTTTGTCAATTTCGAACTCGTTTTCCAATTCAGCAAACTTTTTATTATCTGTTGGCATAATAAAGTCTCGTTTTCAGGTCGTTTGATCCGAGTCGAAACAACCTGATTTGCCATAAAAATAAACCCGCGGATTAAATTGATTATTTTTAGATGAGTGTTTTCGTGTATTTATTAGACTACATCCATCCATTACCGCTAGGAAAAGGTTGATAAATTTCACAGTGAATGCCTTGAAGTTTTTCCTAATTTTCGGACATTTTGGCGACCAGCTATTGCACTTAATTACGCGGATTACATTCTGGTTTTGTGAGTAATTCAAATGCGGCGCATCAAATTAATTTATGTTTTATGGGCGATTTTATCCTCAAAACGCTGTCTACATGCATCTAAAGATGAACAAACGCTCAGATAATAATAAAGGTACAATAATTGCACTAGAATCAACTGGGTGTGGAGGTTGAATGAAACTCGGAATTTACATATTTGAGCAAAACTTCAGAAAGCCGGAAAAGCATAAAATTTTCAGGATGTACACACTCACATCTTCTTCTTAGCCTGTGAAAGTTTCACGTTGCCACTTGCTTTAGACTACAAGTTACGAATTTTTAAAGCAAATGAGGCAATTTTAGAAAAACCTCCATTTTTGGGCAAAACTTTACTAAAGCGGGAAAAATCACAATTGTACGCAATTCCTGAAATTCCCAAAAGTAAAAAATATTCATCTGAAAACCCGCGTCTTTGAGTCTGAATGATAAAGTGTGACCACACACTGAAACCCTGAAAAATTAGACCCGATTTATTTATGTTAGATCGCTTGTAGCGAGTGATTAGTCGATCGGTATGTTGTTTTGGATGTTTCCGAATAAATCGGCATCAATTTTTCACATAAAACGGTTTAAAAAATTATTGGCACATTTTCAGAATCGTGTTGATCGATAAAAATATCACTGGAGCACGAAAAGGTCGTGGACAAAGGCGTTCGAAATCGGCCCATTTTTCACATTCGAAATGTTAATGCCTGGAAAATAATCGCTTTTTCCTTTCGTTTTCAGGACTTCAAGCCGGTGGCCTATCCGAATAACCAGTACGGCAAGTTTTACACCGGCGACTCTTACATTGTCCTGAATGTAAGCGATTGATAGTGCTGCTAATGAGGCATAGCTGATTTTTTTATTTTTAGACTAAAGTGAACAAGAGAGGCGACAAATCCTGGGATATACATTTTTGGCTGGGATCTGAAACCAGTCAGGTGAGAGTATTTTTAAAGCTTTTTCACCTGGTTGTTGATTTGTGGAAATTGCCGATAACCGGTTTTATTAATTAGAGCGGCTGTTAGAGCGGTTTAGGAATATTCAAATACCAAAAAAAAAGATAAATTCTGGGTGATTATGACGATGCTTTCCGCATCTGTAGTCAAGTGTCTTCTAAAGCTGGTGAAACTTTCACTTTTGTACTTGTTTTAGTTTGGACGGGGCGATTTTTTCAGGAACAGCGCGTATTTCTAAGAAAACATTAATATAAAGACCAACATTTACAAAGCTTGCAAAGCTCAGGATTCTGGGCGATTTACATGAAGTTTTCAGCATCTTTAGAGTCAGGTGTAATTTATTTTAGTCGTTTTATTGCCGCAGCAAATAGGCGATGTGTTTGCTCAGAGTCCATTGTTAACATTAGCGGTATTTATAACTCATTGTCTCACAACGGGAAAGTGTGCAAATCAATCCAGTTTAATAAGAATATACAAATTAAACACAGACACTCCTCAAAAGCCACTTCTTATCGATTGAGTCAATTCGGGCTTTATTGGGGCCAGTCACGCTACTGCGCCCAATAAAACAATGCAAATGGGCTGGGAGCGAAATTAATCAATTTCCGCAGCTAATTGGCTAAAACCATTTGATTGCTGTTGGACAGGATGAAGCTGGAGCAGCTGCGATTCTCACGGTGCTGCTGGATGAGCAGCTGGGCGGCGATCCAGTGGAACATCGCGAGAAACAGGAACATGAATCCAAGCTGTTCCTCTCGTACTTCAAAGCGGGCGTTCGTTATCAGCCCGGAGGCGTTGCGTCTGGATTTAGGCATGTGGATCCAAACCAGGCCGAAACCAGACTGTTCCAAGTGAAAGGATCCAGGAATATTCGAGTGAAAGAGGTAAGTGATCAATTTTGGCGATTTTATTAAAAAAAGTTCATTGTTGGCCAAAACTTTCCCAAGTCGGTAAAAATCAGGACTTGACGCAATTTGAATCAAATTTTCAGCCTTTATAGGCTCAAAGTCAAATGTTCTCCTTGACCTATGGAAATTTCAAGTTGTCACCTGCTTTAGATTAGAAGTTACGAATTTTTTAAGCAAATGATGTTTAGAATAAACATTAATTTTTAGGCAAAACTTCAGTATGTCTATAAAAATCTGGATTCGAAGCAATTTGAATGAAATTTTCAGGCCTTATAGACCCAAATGTTCTCCATACACTGCGAAGATTTCAAGTTGCCACACGCTTTATATCAGAAGATAGGAATTTTTAAAGCAAATGATGCAATTTTAGAAAATCGTCCAGCTTTGGACCAAACTTTCCCAAGTCGGTAAAAATCGGGATTTGACGCAATTTGAGTCAAATTTTCAGCCTTTACAGACTCAAATGTTCTCCTTGACCTATGGAAATTTCAAGTTGTCACCTGCTTTAGATTACAAGTTACGAATTTTTAAAGCAAATGATGTCGTTTAGAAAAAACATTAATTTTTAGGCAAAACTTCAGTATGTCTATAATAATCTGGATTCGAAGCAATTTGAATTAAATTTTCAGGATTTACAGACCCAAATGTTCTCCATACACTGCGAAAATTTCAAGTTGCCACACGCTTTATATCAGAAGATTAAATTATGCAATTTTAGAAAATCGTCCAGCTTTGGACCAAACTTTCACAAGTCGGTAAAAATCAGGATTCGACGCGATTTAAATGAAATTCTCAGGATGTACAGACCCGAATGTTCTCCTTAGTCGGTGAAAAATTCAAGCTTCCATCTGCTTTAGATTAGAAATGACGATTTTTTAAAGCAAATGAGTTTAAAGCAAAAAAGTTATTTCTAGGCATAATGTCACTAAATCGGGAAAAATCAGGATCCCTTGCAATTTAAATTACATTTTGAGGATTTACAGACAAATGTTCTCTTTACCCAGTGAAAAATTAAAAACGAGACCAACTTTAAACCAAAAGTTGCGATTTTTAAAGCAATTTTGAACACGAACGTTTGTTTATGAATCAACATCAAATTCCAGGTAGATCCAAACATATCGTCCATGAATAAGGGCGACTGTTTCATTCTGGATCTAGGCAGAAACATCTACGTCTATGTGGGAACAGCAGCAAGAAGAGTGGAAAAACTGAAAGCGACCGCTGCAGCCAATCAAATCAGAGATCAAGATCACGCCGGCAAGTCCACAGTGACCATCGTTGGTAAGATTTTGCGCTCACCTGGCTTAAACTGCGATGCTCATTGTTGGCTTGTCCAGATGAATTCAGTCCCCAATCCGACTTCGACACGTTCTTCAAAGCCCTTGGGGGCGGCTCAAGGGACACCGTGCCCGAAGCCACCAGTGGCGGAGACGACGCCCAGTTCGAAACATCTGAGGAAAGAGCTGCCTCCTTGTACAGAGTGTCGGATGCTTCAGGTAGAGTCTCTTCTCAAAGCCACCAAGCAGAAATTAAGGCATCTTTGCTGCAGGTTCCCTTCGGGTAGAGCCCGTAGGCAGCCGCCCTTTGGAGCCCTCGCTTTTAGACGAAGGCGACGTTTTTGTCTTAGACTCCGGGAATGGCGATGTCTTTGTGTGGGTCGGTCGCAGGGCGTCTGCCCAAGAGAAACGGGAGTCGATGAAGAAGGCGGACGCCTATTTGGCTGAGCACAAACGGCCTTCGTGGACGCATGTGGAGCGCGTGTCCCAGGTGAAATTAATTCCGTTTTTAGAGTCCTGAAGCTGAAAGACTGTTTAGGGAGCTGAACCGGCTGCCTTCACTCAATTGTTCCGCACTTGGCAAGGGTATGGAGAAACGCGCACCAGGATTGCACGGGCTGCCGATCAGCCGCGCCTGCTGCACGCTCTGCTGCGTCCGGGAGCCTCCAAGTTCCAAGTGGAAGAAGTGCACAACTTTGAGCAGGACGAGCTGAATACGGACGACGTGATGCTGTTGGACGTGCCGCAGGAGAACACGATCTTTGTGTGGGTCGGCGAAGGCGCGGACGCTGAAGAAAAGAGACGCAGCAGCGAGCTGGTTGAGGTAAAAGTGGTTTTTTGAGTGGTTTAGCAATAACGAGAGCGCAAATTTCCGCAGAATTACCAGCGGCAGCATCATAGGGAGGGGACCGCCGTCAAGTTCGTCCATCAAGGCGAGGAAGACGACGAGTTTAAGGCGCACTTTTCCAGCTGGAATCCGCAACTTTGGGAGAACGAAGTCGATGTCAGGCAACTGGCCAAGAAATTCGATGACTGATTTATGGCCTTTGGCGGCTGTTTGCTTCCTTTCTTCGATCATTTTATAACCAAAAATTGTTTTTGTGCATCCATTTTAAACGCCCTTTATGGGCAGATAGGATCATCCACCTGTTAAGGTAAGTTGTTTACACCCCGTATCGTCTTTTACACTCATATGTAAGTATGTATACTCTTAAATTGTCATATTTGTGTAGTAGTAAAGCATTTAACTTTTTTTGTTTTCTTTTGTCTCGAGTTATACAGTTGGACGTTTCCTGGACGTTAAAAGCAAACAAACCTTCGCATTTTATTTTCTATATTCAGTCAATTTTTTCTGTGCCTATTTTTGACCTAATAAAAAAAGATCGCCCCTAGAAGAACCATCCGAGGCGGTAATATGAGCAAAAAAATTCGAAACCTATGGATCACATAAATGTTACTGCATTACAAAGAAAATGCAAGCTGCTCATTGAATCATTAAAGTTGCACACTTCCATGGTCTTAACTCTCCATTCTATTGCAAAATAGTCACGGGAATTATGAACTACTGTCGGTAAAAACGTGATATTTGGTTTATAAAAATGAAAACCAGAGGAACATAAATGAGTAAGGGAAGCGCAGGAAGACACAATTCTGGGTGAATTCAACAGTACATCCAAACATAAATTAAGTATATGTACAAGAATGTGAATCTTCCTGCCGAATCCTTTACATACACAGGACTAAGTACGTCTTAGTACTATATGTACAATCTATAATATACATACACTAGGTCACATTTAAAACTTGTATGAGTATGGCTAAGAAAGTCGCCAATTGGCGGTTGAGGGCAGGTTTTTGCAAAAAAAACGCGCATTAATTCGGCTTGTGGGGTTGATTTGCATGCATGAAGAACCGTCCATCCGCCAATTGAACATGAATCCCAATCACATGCACGAGATCTACATCTAGAAATATACCAAATTGCAAATTTCACAATTCATTAATTAGCAATAATAGTTTGCTAACTTTACAAGTGGTTACACAGACTTAGGTTTTATTGCACGTTAATCATCTACTTAGTATAGTAGTGCCAAGAACACGAACACCCGATGAAATAAATATGAAGTGAAATGTTCAGTAGTTAAGAAACATTATTGTTTGGTATTTGATCAGCGAGACATTTCGTTTGATTATCATCCTCTCATTGAAGGCACATGAAGCTGAATGATTTTTTTACTGGCGCTTATGGGCAAGAAACAAATAACAATGTGGACCAACGCAAGGAAAATCAATGACAAACACACTCAACACATTAAGACTATTGGCATCACAGAATTAAACGCACATTCAGCTCAAAAGTTCACACGCGCTTCTCACATTTTGTACATTAAATCTTAATGGGGACTCTCACTTGTTTCAACATAACATTAACAACATTTATGGCATCAGTTTGGCCGCTATATCGATATAAATTACCTAAGAATGCATGTCAGGACCTAAGCGACCTCACTTCTTTTTACTGGCTTTCTCCGCTTTGCGCAGCTGTTTCTCCTTTTCCTTGCGCTCTTTTTCCTGCTGTTTTCTCTCCTTTTCCGCCTGCGATTTCAGCTCTTTGATTTTCCGCTTCAGCCGGTGCTTATCCTCGTTCGCTATGCCCAATATTTTAAAATCGGTTGTCGTTAACAGTAGCAAAGCGCTTCCGTTCACCTGCAGCTCGGCAAACTTCTGCAGATGCTCGTCCATTCCGATCTGTAACAGCCACTGGCAAACCTGAAAATTACTTACATTCAAAATGTTGGTCTCGAATACGAATTTTCAACTACAAGGAATAATAGGATATTATTTTTTTACAAACTTCTTTTTGGGTATTATTTTGAGAAAATTCCAATTAGTAAAGAAATTAATTTGAAAAATTACCTTGACGTTTTGATGGCTATTTTCTGCTATCGTTATCAAAAGAACCTAAATGAACCTAAAAAAGTGTATGTTAATAAATTGTGTAACAATAGTAGGATAGTACAGTATACGAAAATTCGCTCTGATAATTCGTCTGTGCAAATATTGTCAGTTATGTGACTTCGACTTAATCTCATTGTTTAAATT